TTCAGGGAAAGGAAAGAAAAACATCGACTTTCCCCTCCGAGAACAAGCGACCACAAACAAAAACATGGTTGAAAATTGGTCGCCGCCGCTCACGTCTTACATCACCGCCGGCTGCGGCCCGTCCCGTGTGCGTGACGAGAGTCTTTCGGTCCAAATGTTAACGTTTGGAAAAAGGACGCGACTCGATTCAAGCTCGACCACAAAACGCGTACGCTCGATTCGGTGCAACCGAACATGAAGCTGGATCTTCCACTTGAGCTCCACTCTTATAATTCCGTTGGTATTGAATGCGTAAAGCCATACGCGGCCACCCGGGAGCTTTGCTAACTGAGCAGCAAGATCATTTCCTCCTTGGTTTTTTTTTTTTTAATGACGCAAGTAGGCAGACCCCCCCCCCCACGCCCCCACAAATATATAGAAGTAAATCTCTTTGCATCCCTCCGCTTCACCTCTCATCCCTCTTGAAATTGCAAAAATAATAATTTCCAGCTGTGAAGGGCGCATGAAAGCGGCGGCTGTAATGGGGTGCTGAAAGCAGATGCTCCGCAGCAAAAACAAAAAAGGAGGAGGGCATTCAACTTCCAAGGTCTCGTCTTATCATCGGCCCTGCCTTTTGTCTCTTGGCCAAAATCAAACCCCCCCGCGCGCGCACCCTCGCCTCGCTTCGCCTCTCTGGAGATCCTAATTGAGCTCAACTCATCAGCGCCCGAGCAGCAAATTGATTGGGAGAGACTTCAGAATGTTGAATGTGAGAAATGTGTTGTGCGCCATCCAAAGAGTGATGAAAGCCATTGTGAGGCAACAGCTACTAAAATGACCAAAAGAACGTTGACGGCCATAGAAATGGACACAATCGCGTCAAGGATTCCGCAAAAGTTCGTGGTAAGAATGGGCGAACGCCGGCATAATTTACGAGCGGCCACTATTGCTGCTACTGTTATTGTTCTCATTCACATTCCACCTGTTGCTGTGCTCGTCTTGTATTTATTGCGCGGAACATTTTGCGGACATAAAATGTGGCGCGCAAATAAATCTCTGCTTACTTAAAAGGTTAAGCCCAGAGCATGTCGGCTAAATTGATGTTAGCGCCTTCATGTGGCGCGCAGATGCTTCATCGCGAGGTATCTCTTTTTTTTTTTCCGTTCCGACAAAGTCGTCGGAAAGTTTGCGTGCGGCTGCAAAGACGTGCTGGGCTGTCAGGAGATCGCCACCATATTTGGAGAAATTGACGTGGCGCTAAGAGACGCATGGGTTCGCCTCGCACGCGCCTCTTTGGGGATACTCACCCCGGCAGCCTGCCGCCTTGCGCAATAGACGTCAACGAAACGGCCAGAGATCATCCGCAAAGTCAATAAAACTTTTGCGACGTTGCACACGCAAGTAACAAAGCACCCCACGTGTCCTCAAGTCATTGCAATCGTTTCTTTGGCCAGTTATTCCAGCTCACTCAGTATTGCGATTGCTCTTTTTCCATCCAAAGGTTCGTGAGAAAAGCCACGTCGCGCTTTAGAAATCAGGACGTAACCGAATGGAAGTCATCCACAGTCGTATGCTCGGTCGCGGGGACACGAGTTGATCATCGAGCATTCCGGGATCATCGCGACCTTGCAGAAAAGACGAATGCTGTCCAAAGCGAAAGGAAAACACTTGACGGGTTTTTTTTTCCGGTCTCCTTTTCCCTCAGGTGTCCGCCACGGACGGCGACCGCGGTTCCTTCGGCGCGGTGTCCTACGCGCTGGCCTCGGGTTCGGGCGGCGCGGCGTCCGCCCACTTTGGCGTCGACAAGGAGAGCGGGCAGCTGTGCACCATCGCGGCGGTGGACCGCGACGAAGGCCCCGACGCCTTTGAGCTGACGGTCACCGCGACGGACGGGGTGAGAGCAAACATTTCTGACCGTTGGTCACTTCGAAGGGCGAGTACAGCCGGAACGCGTGCGTCTGAGCCATCCAAACCAGAGCCAGTCACACGACACCGGGGAGGGGGAGGGGATTCTCGGGCCCAATTCGGACACGTCGGGCTCCAGTCACTCTTGCCGCCGGCGGTTAAGAAGCTCCAGGACGATGGGGTCTTTTAAGGACTGCTGGAAAGGGCCCAAATGAGCGGCCATCTTGAGGGCTGCTTCCAACCAAAATTGCAGACTTCCTGTGTCTAGTCCAAAATGTCTGGGGAATGATTTAGGGGGGGGTGAGTTTCCTCATAACAGGCAAGCCTACTGTGTGGTGTTGGTGTTCCTCCGGCAAACCGGAGAAATGTCCCCAAATTCTCCGGCGCTCTACTCACGTTGCAATTTGACCAGAATGAGCTCATTTTTCAACGAGCGCAACCGGAGAAATGTCCCCAAATTCTCCGGCGCTCTAACTCACGTTGCAATTTGACCAGAAGGAGCTAATGACAAACTTTAACTTAGTGAATGACCCCAAATTCTTGACGGACGGGCCCGGTTGAACTAACGGCGCCGCCGAATGAACGCCCGCCTCGCTAAGTGACGAAACAAAGACCAGTAAACGCGGCTGGGATACAAAACCGACGGCTGACTTGGAGTCGGGCAAACGTAGCGATGGATCGACCCAGCGACTGACTCGCTAGCTACAAACAGCTGCCTAACTTTGTCCAGTTCCAGGAGTCGGGTCGGTTGAAGAGGGCCCAAGTAGTCGTGATCAAGTCAAGTGTCATTTCGCAATTCTATTCATCCTTGAAATCAAGTAAAATCAAGGAATCGTCATTGGCGCCGATCCGTCTCAACTACGTCCGCGCTGGAGTGTGCGGCCGAGTGTTCTCAGGATTTGTTCCCTGCCTGGAGCAAATCCCCAGATAAGAGAACTTTGGTTTTGAAAAAGTCTACCCCAAGTAGGATTTGAGAAGACGTTTGTTCACGAGTGTGGTTGAAGCAAGCCCGAGTCTCCCAACTTTATTGCCGGTACCAAAGTGGAACAGGAAGGTTCATGCGGCGCAAACCGTCTCGCTCGTCCTTTTGTCTTTCCTGCAGTCGCTCGGCTCGGATTTGCGACCACAAAGCCAAGGGGGAACAACTCTCTCTGTGGAGGAGTCGAAATGGTGCACGAAGGGGGGGAGGTTGTTCGTCCTCCTCGTAGCGCCGCGCCGTTTTGTATACCGAGGCCGTCCCGCCGGGCTCATCTGAACACCGTCGTCGCTTTTCCCTTTTAAGGGCGGCCTGAGCGCGGCGGTCGGCGTGAGGGTGTCCCTGGCTGACGTCAACGACAACCGGCCCGCCTTCTACCCCGTGCTGTACGCGGTCAGCCTGAGTGCGCACAGCGCCCCCGGAACCTCTGTGGTCAGGGTGACGGCCCGCGACCCCGACGCCGGGGAGAACGGGCGGGTGACCTACACGGCGGCGCCCGGGGGAGCTTCCGCCTTCTTCACCCTCAACAAGGACACAGGTACGATGGTGCACTCACTTTTGGTGCGTTGACGCCAGTCAACGACATTCGAGATGAGCGATGATGGCAATATTCTCAACTGGAAAGCTCCCGCGCTACAATGACACGCTTGTGCCCCCACCTCAGGCGTGATCTCCCTTTCGCGCTCGCTCCACGGCAAAGCCAACTCAGTCATCGCCATGGTGATATCGGCCCAGGACGGCGGCGGCCTGAGCGCTCCGGTGGACGCCAGGGTGAACGTGAGCGTGGTGGGGGGCTCCGCGTCGTCGCCCGTCTTCGAGCAGCCGCAGTACTTCTTCACCGTGTCCGAAGATGTCCTCCGGGGCACGGCGGTGGGAGCGGTCCGCGCCGCCGCCAAAACAGGTCAGGAAACGGTCGCTCATCGGCAAGCGTTCCTCGTGGCCCGTTGTCAATTCCGCCTCGTTTCTCCGCTTCAGCTCACGCCAAAGACATCTCCTACTCCATCTCCTCTGGAGATCCCGACGGGTACTTCACCGTGGACGGCGCGACGGGAACCATCCGCACCGCCCTCCCCTTAGACCATGAAACCTGCCCGAGGCTGGACCTGGAGATCCAGGCGCGCTTCGGCTCCCCGCCCGCTTTCGGGACCAGTCGAGTGCGCGTTTCCGTCTCGGACGTGAACGACAACGCGCCCGCGTTTCTCCCCTCCTCGTCGGAGTCCCTCCTCCTGCCCGAGGGGGCCAAGATGGGGACGGTCATCTACCGCATTCGGGCCTCGGACAAGGACTCCGGTCATAACGGTCAGCTGAGCTTCCACCTGCTGTCGGCCGGGGTTGCGGGCGGCAGCGGGCAGCGGACCTTCGGCGTGGATCGCGGCAGCGGCGAGGTGCGTCTGATCGGGGCGCTGTCCTATGAAAGCGTCCCCCGCTATGACCTTCAGGTGGTGGCCAAAGACGGCGGAGTGCCTCAGCAGAGCTCCACCTTCACCCTGGTGGTTCATGTCCAGGCGCAGGATGCGCAGGGCCCCCACTTTGACACCCTGACCTACCGCGTGGAGCTGCGAGAGAACGCGCCTCTCGACACGCGCTTCCTCCAGGTTCGAGCGCTCAACAGAGAGGCCTCGGCCAACGGCGGAAGCGCCTCCTCGTCTTCTGGCATCTCCTACCGCCTGCGGCCCGACGGCGACGCGGCCGGCTTTGGCATCGTGCCGGATAGCGGTTGGCTCTTTGTGCGAAGCTCCCTGGACCGCGAGGTCAAGGACGTGTACCTGTTGACGGTCGTGGCCACCGCCACCCGGGGCGGGACCGGCAGGACGGGAAGCGCCACGGTCAGGGTGACGGTGACGGATGAAAACGACAACTCCCCCAAGCTGAGCCGGGACAGGGCGTTCCTGGCAGTGCGGGAGAACCTGCTGGCGGGGACGGGCTTCGGCAGGGTGTCCGCGACGGACCGAGATGCGGGACCGAACGCCCGGCTTGCCTACAGGCTGCTGCACCCTGACAGACACTTTCAGATCAACTCCCAGACAGGTGAGGACGGACGGACCCCAAAGCGCTGCCCGTTGTTCTCGACTCACCTCTGAGTTCCCCGCTTGTTCATTCTTCCCCCTTCCAGGGGAAATTAGCACTCGCCGGGCCCTGGACCGAGAGCAGCACTCCAGCTTCCGCTTGGTGGTGGTCGTGCAGGATGGCGGCACGCCCCCCCGCAGCGCCACCGGCACCGCTCACGTCAGCGTGCTGGACGAAAACGACCACGCGCCCAGTTTCGCCCGCGCCCGTCCTGACGCGGAGCTCATCTTTCAGGTCGCGCTTGAACTCCGGAGATTCGGAACGGGGACACGCGGCGCGGATGTTCAATCAAGTTTCTGCATTGTAGGTGAACGAGGGGCTGCCCTCTGGCAGCGTCGTAGGCACGATGTCCGCCAAGGACCCAGATGAAGGCGAAAACGGCACCATCCGCTACTCTTTAGCAGGCAAGACCGACTGTTCATTTGAGTCGCCGGCCTGCGTTTGTTGCGCAGGCGCGGAATTTGAGACGATTGGACTCAAGTCACCAATTTTAGGACTTAAGACTTGCCTGGCCAAAACCGGAAATATGAAATGACTCAGCCTTGAATTGCATGACTGGAAAAGTCTCGTGAAGCGATTCAGAAGTCTTAGTTTTTGGGTCGTGTGTGTGGCAACCAGACAACCGAGCAGCATGCTACAGTGAGATGCGGAGTCCAGAGGCCAGCTGTTGAAGCCTGCATCGCGGGGGGGGAATCTGAAGATGATTACATTCGGATTCCAAGATGATGTGTTAAATCGGGAAAGAGAAAAGTGCAACGTGTTCTAAAACCCACATAGGCTCGTTCTTATTATGAGCTAAAACATAAAAAAAAAAAAGCCTCACGGCGGCCATGAGTTGACTCGAGAAGAGGATAAAACAATAGACGATACGCTGAATGCTTTGCTCCAAACGTCGTCATCGCACATTTGTGAGTTCGCAGACGGTATACGTTGTGACGACTTGTTGAACCCAAGTTAATGACGTGACTTGAGTTGCTTGATATTTAGCGGGGAGCGATCTGACGTGCTTGCTTTTCGCCGCTTCGTTTTCTCATCCTGACCATGATTTCCTCCAAAAGGCTCCAGAGTCGAGCGCTTCTCCCTGAACGCCGCCACTGGGGAGCTCCGAACCGCTGCCCCGTTGAGGTGGGCGGAACGTGCCGAGTACACCCTGACTGTCACCGCCGCTGACCACGGGACACCGAGCCTCAGCGCCACCTGCCAGCTGCGGATACAAGTAATCACGCATCCTCGGCGATCTGGCGGCCGGCGCTAAAAACTCTCACGTCGCAGTCTTGTTATAGTCGTTTCCTCAGAGCGGATTGGGGAAAAGACCGAATATGAGCCGGCGAACCTGAGCCTATGTGCGCAAACGCATCTCTGCAATCTGTTTGGATTAGTGGAGATATCAGCACCTGGGCTGAGGGAACTTGTCCGGAATGACTTGCCGCCGTGAACTGGGGTGAATCCCCCCCTGCGCTGGTATCTGAAGAGTTGAGTGAGTTCGGAATGGAAAAGGTTGCTCGTCTGAGGAAGGGATTTGAGTTTTTTTCCCTCACCGCGCCGAGGAAAGGAGAAACGGTCCCCTCAGAATCAAACGCTCCCCTATGAGATGTGACGATGGTCAGCTTTGTCCCACAGCAGCACGTGAGAGGTGCCATGACCACTTCGCACGATAGAAATAAACGCGTATATTCCACGGGGTAAAAAAATGTTTGCTCAGTCGCACGTGTTGTCAAAATGTGCCATCACTTTGACTAAAAACATACATCCACTGCAGTTTTTTTTTTTTTTTGACTTGCTTTAATGTCATCAAGCGGGAATTAATTAAGTGCGGGAATGACATGCCACGTCTTCATGCCAAAGGGGCTCATGATCTTCATTACAGAAAGAAACAGAGTTTTGCTCAAGGTTACTTCCGTGGAGGATCTGGCTCGAGTTTTTTCGAGCTGCGGGGCCTTCACAATCCCTCAAGACCTTTTATAATGGACCAGACGCAGACTCTTTACCGTCATCGTCAAATCAAGTGATTGGAGCCGGCAGATCTCGCGTGCAAAACGCTGACCCGGCTTTTTTCCCTCTCTCGATCTGCAGGTCCTGAGCTCCGCCACGTCGACCCCGAAGCCCAACGTGCTGTCCGTGGCGATCCAAGTGGTCGAAGGAACCCCTCCGGGCTCAGTCGTGGGCTCGGTGAACCAACGGCATGAAGCCGCCGTCCCGGACGGCCGCGTCACCTTCCTGGTGGTGGGCGGGACGGACGGGGACGGGACCTTCATGGTGGACCGCTTGAAGGGTGACGTGTACCTGGTGCACGAACTCGACTACGAGAAGGGTTCCGAGTACACGCTGCGCGTGGAGGTCTCCGACTTCTCCCGGGCCTTTCCCGGCAGCCATCTGGTGGAACTGCGCATTGAGGTGCAGGACAGCAATGACCATCGGCCGCGGTTCACGGAAGATCCCGTGACCATCGTCGTCCCGGAGAACCTCCAGCCGGGAGCTTCCATTTACACCTTCCGGGCCGTGGATGAGGTACCGAAACGCAAAGTCACTTGAAGTGTGCTCATGGAACAGATGCTAGCTCAAGCTGCGCGTCGGTGAACCTCACTTCCCTAAATCCGACACACGGTTGCAAACAACTCCCGCCCGGCACACACACATGCACGCACACACACACACACACACACACACACACACACACACACACACACACACACACTCTTCCACCATTCTCTTTGTGACATGCGCACACTCATGGTCAATGAGGCGCTCTAAAGCAACCCCTATAAATAAATCAGGACACGATTGTAAAACTCACACGAAGCCATTTGAAGCCACAGCGATTCATGACAAGCACCACCTTGTACAATCTAAAAAAACAAAACAAACAAACAAAACAATGACTCGAAAGTGACTGCAACATTGTTGAGTGAATGAATGTCAAGGGCCGGCCGGATCTCCACACAGGATGGCAGCCGTCCCAACAGCGAGCTGCGTTACTCCATGGAGCTCCTGTGGCCGAACAAGGCCGACCCGCTTCAACTGGACCCCGTGAGCGGCGTCCTCACCTTGGGGGAGACGCTGGACCGCGAGACCACTCAGTCTCTCCACATGGTGGTCCGGGCCACCGACCAAGCGGTGGACCCGGCGCAGAGGCGATGCGCTTCGGTCACGGCGCAAGTGTTTATCGCCGACCGGAACGACAACGCTCCCGTCTTCAGCTCGCCGGCGGCCATCAGCGTGATGGAGGATCAGCCCGTCGGGTATGTTAGCTCGTAGCTTAGCGTCTCGGCTTGAAAAAGGAAGTGGAATTGAACTGCGCGTTCTCGTTATTCCCGGGGGCAGCTTTGTGATCGTGCACGTGATGGCTCGGGACGCGGACGAAGGGGAGAACGGCCGAGTGTCGTACAGAATCCAGACGGGAAACGCTGCCGGTCGCTTTAGTCTGAACCCAAACACCGGTAAGTCGACCTTCTTTCACCAAGTGTGGGGTCCGGAGAAGCCCACCAGATGAAAACCTCGTTCCAAGACGAAGAGCTTTATAAACATCTGCACTTGAGGAGCTTTCTAGCAATAATATTTCACCTCGGCGGTGCCTGAGGTTGAGGTCAGCTAGTCACTTGATGGAACTTCCAGATGGAGCGAAAGTCTCCCGGCTGTGAGTTCCTTAAGCCTGCGGTTTGTTTTCTCAGATGCTATTCAGCTTTTAGAGTAGATAACTACAATAAAAAATGGACTCCAGTTGTCCATGACAACGGTCACCATGCAAGATGGAAATCAACCTATCAGCAAGAACTAGTCCACAGAGTTAAAAAAAAAAAAAACAACTCCACTCCGGCATAGGCACGTGATGAGAAGAAATAATTGATGCGATCAGTGTCTCTGCCAATCAAAATAAAAAGAAGGAGTAGAAATAATCCCCCCAAACTCCTCGCAGGCTCTCTATCCATCTTGAAGGCTCTGGACCGAGAGGAGCAGGAGGTCTTCAATTTGACGGTGGTGGCGGAGGACGGCGGGACGCCTCCGCTGTCCACCTCCCAGGATCTCCGCGTACAAGTGATGGACGTCAACGACGAGGCGCCGGTGTTCCAGAAGGCGGAGTTTGAGGCCCAGGTTCTGGAGAACCGAGGGCCCGGCACCACGGTGCTGACGGTGGTGGCCACCGACAGAGATCAAGGTTGAATATTTTTGGAGGGGGGATTGCTACGCCAAAGATCTGATTTGAAAGCTTTTTCATTGGCCCGTGTTTTCACGCAGGGTCCAATGGGCACGTCACGTTCGGCGGGGTGACGGAGGAAGGCTTCGTCATCAACCCGTCAACCGGCGTCATCACCACCACCAAGGAACTGGACAAGGAGCTTCGGGATCACTACGTTCTCACCGGTACTCAACCCGACGTGTGTTTTTGTGAACAGCAAATGCAATTTGTTTTCGAGCGCATCTAATCGCACCCGGTTTGGAACACGCGGTTGACAATTTTGTCTCAGTGACACTCATTCAAGGCAATTTAGAGTTCAGTGACATGTTTATGCTCGGGTGTTTTCATAAACATCTCGAATGAACCTGATTTGGCATCTTCAAGTCTTTTTGGTCAATATCCAAATCACATTTTTGTTTTTTTTCCAAAGAGATTGGCGTACCGGAGGCGTTTTCAAGCACGTCAAAGGGACCATTTCTTGTAGCGCTGGCATTGTTGATGTACGCCTCAAAGGCAATGTCGAGTTTTCACCGGCTCCTTTCATACGTGTTCTCTGGTCATCAAGGAGCGTTGTGGGTCAATGTCCAGCTTATCCAGCTTGCCCCTGGCCAACGACGTCCGTCTTTCTGTCCAGTGTACGCCCAGGACGGAGGTCTGCCTCCCAACTTTGCCAAGGCAACGGTGCGGGTGGAGGTCGGGGACGTGAACGACAACGCTCCGGTCTTTGCCCAACCATGGTACGGCCTGGAAGCGCCCGAGAACCAGGACCCCGTGGAGCTGTGCCTCCTCAAGGCCGGCGACCCGGACTCGGGTGCCGGCGGCGAGCTGGAGTACAGGATTACCGGTGAGAGCCATTCCGCCCGTCCTCCTCGCCAAGTATTTCATTAGTTGGCTACACGCTGGCGTCTTTGCTTTTGGCCGGGCCCCCGTCCGCATATAAAAAAACAGGTCTGGCTTCTGACACGGGACTTTGAAAAGAGTACTCGCCTCCCCGGCACTGAGATCTTTTTCCTCATTTTCGCAACAACCGCTCCCTCCAGCCGGAGACCCGGACGGGGATTTCCAGCTCCACGCCAGCACGGGAGCCCTGTCCACCCGCCGGGGCCTGGACAGGGAGACCAAGGCCGAGTACACCCTGGAGGTGACGGCCACGGACAGAGGGAGCCCGCCTCTCAGCACCGTGGTCACGGTGGAGGTCCGAGTGCTGGACGTCAACGACAACGCCCCCGATTTTGGCAGGAGTGCCTACAGCGCCGACGTTTCGGAGGACGCCGTCGAGGGATCGCAAGTCCTGACGGTAGTCAGATGTTCAAGACTATGATTATTTTTCCGAAAATACAACGAAAGTCATAGTTTTCAATTTCAAGACAAAAATTCCTCTTCTTTTTAGTGAATAGTCACTCTATGGGGGCTCGGGGGGGTACTCATAAATTCTTGAATTTGACACAAAAATAGACCCATTTGTATTTTTCCTGAAGTCCGAATGATTCTCTTGAAAGTGGAAATAATAGAGCAAAAATCAAACGCGCTTTCTTTGTGTTCAGTTCAGAATCTTGTGCCCCAAAATGTGACGAATCCTATTCGAACAAATGGTTCTATTTTTGCAATCGGCTGAGTCCCGTATTTCGCGTTTCCAGGTGTCTGCGACGGACGCCGACGACGACGTGAACGGGAAACTTCTGTACTTCCTGAGCCCCGAGGCCCGCTGCGCGTTTGCGGTGGACGAGCACACGGGCCGCATCACCACGTCGGCCCCTCTGGACCGCGAGAGGCAAGCGTCGTACAGCTTCCGGGTTTTTGCCACCGACCTTTCCCCGGCGTCGCCCATGAACTCCTCCGCTCAGGTGCATTTCAAATGGTGTTGGCTGAAGACAAAGTTCGTCGCACCAACCGAGCCGCATCACAACAGCAGCACTTGCATACACGCGGACGACATATTTCCACTCGTGGAAGTAGCACCTCATACATCCCCTCGAAGGCTCACTCACACGTTTTTGGAAATGTTCAAGGAAATCCGGACACAACAATTTGCCGACGAGCTCACAAAAAGTCACTTTGTCAACAACCTCGTCACCCCTCGCTTCCAGGTGACCATCACCGTCGTGGACATCAACGACAACACGCCCGTCTTCATCCAGGACCCGCTGGTCATCGAGGTATCAAGCAGGAGGTCCCAGAGGGTTCTGGCCACCATGAAGGCCGAGGACAAGGACTTCGGGGCCAACGGCTCCGTGTTTTATCGCTTCGCCGCCCCCGTGAAGGGCTTCGGCATCAACTCGCTGACCGGAGAGATCCGGGCCACGCAGCCTCTGGAGACCCTTTCCCAGGCCCAGAGGACCCTCATCGTGGAGGCCATGGACCAGGGCGCCCCGGCCCAGTCCGCACAAGGGGTGGTGGTGATCTACGTCAAGGAGGTGGAGTACGACGGCATTCGCTTCTCGAGAAGCGCCAGAGACGTCAGCGTACCGGAGAACGCGGCCAAAGGTCCGACATATCGTGCGGCGCTCCCCGAGACGAGCATGATGATCTGATTTCATCGTCAAAGAATTATCTGTCTTGCGCCGCCGTCCATCAGGTACGGCCGTGGCCCAGGCTCAGGCCCAGTATCCAGATGGAAATCGCAAGGGGATCAGCTACAGCATCTTCAGCGGAAACAGACAGCAGGCCTTCAGAATCAGCTCGTCCACAGGTGAACACCGTCAGTCGGTCGCACTCTCCAAATGGAAGAGCAGAGGCGGGAGTGATGGCGGAGGGAAGCCAGACGCGGAGCAGAGACATTTCCAAAACACGCTCATTCGTCCGTGCGTTGGGCAGGTGAAATCTGGGTGCAAAGCTCCAAGGGTCTGGACTTCGAGGACGCTCCCAGGCTACGTCTGGTGGTGAAAGCTGAGACCGTGTCGTCCGCCTCCTTCACCGGCATCAACTTGATGCTGCAGGACGTCAACGACAACCTGCCTCGCTTCCAGCTGCAAAACTACGTCGCTTACATGAGGGAGGCCCGGGGATATGAAACGCCCATCATCCAGGTGACGCGCGCCTACCCGCTACACCGCCGCCTCTTCCGGAGTTTTTAACCGCTTCGGAACTTTCCCAGGTCGTGGCCGAGGACGTGGACCAGGGCCAGAACGGTCAGGTGACCTACTCCATTCAGTCATCGGCCATGAGTGGATTGTTCAAGATCGATCCGATGACGGGGAGCGTTAGCACCACGGCCATCATGGACCGCGAGATCTTCACCCAGACCAAGTAAGAACGCAAAGATAATCGCACGCGATTGAATAAACGCAGTCATATTCAATCGATCGCATCCTTGCCCAGGCTGGTGATAACGGCAACCGATAGAGGAAGCCCGAGACTGGCGGGCTCGGCGACGCTGACCGTGATCATCGTGGACCAGAACGACAACAGTCCCACTATTCCCTTGCCGCAAGAAATCCGCATCTCCGAGAGTACTCGACAATGCTCTGTTATGTCCACGGTGGTGCCTTGACTTGCGAATTTTTGAGTTCCGAGCCATCGCTCGGCTAATGTTTTGCTTTGTGTTGCGGAGCCGATATTTACGAGTGCGCTTCAGATACACAATGTCACCCGATTGAAGGGGGGAAAAAAAAACTCAAACAAACTTGTCAGGGTACCACCGTACAATTCTGTATTGCAAGCCTGAAAGGCACCGACCGACATGTCGCTGTGCCTATCAGACACGCTCATAGGTACCGAGATCACCCTGGTGACGGGGAACGACGTCGACTCCGGTCCCGCTCTGGCCTACTCGTTGCACTTGGACCCGAGTGCCGCGGGCAAGTTCGGGATCCATCGCTACACCGGAGGCGTTTCGCTGACCGCCCCGCTGGACTTTGAGGAGAAGACGTGGTACACGGTCACCGTCAGAGCCACCGACGGCCAGCACCACGCGGAGGCCAACGTCACCGTCCTGGTAGAGGACGTCAACGACAACGTACCGGCCTTCACCCAGGACCTCTACCAGGTAGGATGGCCCAGCTTCAGCGCAGAAAGAGGGAACCGTGGAAACATTTTTGGTCCTAGCGCAGGGTGCAAAAATACGTCGAGGCGCCCCTGTACTCAAAGGGCCGTCATTCCTGATATTTCCACCGCAGGTGACCCTCGCCGAGCACACGCCAGCTGGCGGCGTGGTCGTCACGGTAACAGCGACTGACAGGGACGCCGGAGAGAACGGAAGGATCACCTACAGCGTGATGTCGTCCACTCAGGAGGGCTTCCGCATCGATCCCAGCAACGGTAGACGAGCACCGCCTCCTGTCGGGAAGGCAAACGATGGGACTCCTTTGGTTCCCTGACCCCGTTTTTTTGGCCTTCCAGGTTCTTTGTTCATCAGCCACCGAGCCGAGTTCGACCCCGAACGCCCTTGCGTCAATGTCGTCGTGGAGGCTCGCGACGGGGGCTCGCCAGCACATTCTGCCCTCGCCACGGTGCAGGTTCAAATCGTTGACGTCAACGACAATGCCCCCGTCTTCCACCAATCAGAGTACAGGTCAGTTGGAGTGGAAGCGAGCCTTTATCTGTTTAAGCCCAATAGCAATTCAAAAGTGACTTTTTGAACTTGCAGGGCGGTGCTTCCAGAGGACGCCATCCCCGGAGTGACAGTTTTGACATTCGAGGCCTTTGACAGCGACCTCTCCCGGGAAAACTGCGGCTTCGACTTTGCTCTGGCCAGCGGCAATGAGGGCAACGCCTTCCAGATGGAGAGCAGCGTGCGCTTCCTGGAGGGCCGCGGATTCCAAACCGTGGGAACGCTGCTCTTGGCCGAGGGTCTGGATTTCGAAGCCAAAGCGCTGTACAACCTCACCGTGGTGGCGTCGGACCGCGGCGTGCCCCAGAGGAGCTCCAGCGTCGCCGCCGTGATTACGATCGGTGACGTGAACGACAATCAGCCCGTTTTCAGCAGGGCGGAATACGCGGTGGCCTTGAGCGAAGGGGGCGCTGTTACTGGGACAGAGATCATCAGACTGACCGCGACAGGTAGCGACAACTTTTCCCGGTTGGACTTCTCGGTCTCATGTTGCCGCAGTTAACCAAGAAGCGTTTATCGCCCGTTTTCCCCCCCAGATCCAGACTCAACGCCCAATGCGGAGATCCAGTATGCTATAAGCTCCGGGAACGAGGTTAATCTTTTCACCGTGGACCAGTGGACCGGAGCCTTGCGACTTCAGCAGGCATTGGATCGCGAGCACCGGTCCACGCACACGGTCATCGTCCGGGCCACGGACGGTCAGGGGCATTTCGCTCTGGTTCCCGTGGTCGTCGAGGTCAACGACGCGAACGACAATCATCCGTTCTTCCCGGTGGACGTCCTGACGGCAAGCATCAGAGAGAACCGGCCGGCCAATTCGGCCGTGACGGTTCTCCACGCGATCGACCGCGACGCGGGAGTCTTCGGCCAGCTGAGGTACTTCATGGCGGAGCGCTCGCCCGCAGGGAAGGACTTTACCGTGGATTCTGCCACCGGAGAGATCAGGAGCAGGAACCCCTTTGACTTTGAGAAAATCAATTCGTTCGACTTTGTCGCACTGGCAGTCGATGCAGGAAACCACTCCGCCACCGTGACGGTGCAGGTGTTTGTCACGGGCGAGGACGAGTACGACCCGCTTTTCACCTCCTCCCATTTCTCCTTTGAGGTCCCGGAGGATGCCCGGAAAGGTCAGAGCATAGGCCGAGTCCAGGCCCGCGACGAGGACGGGGGCGTGGACGGCATCGTCCTCTACTCGTTCCCGACGAGCTCTCCGTACTTTGAAATCAACCGAACCACCGGGGTGATTTTCCTCAAGCTGGACAGCTCGGGGAGCGGTCGCAGCAGCGACAGCGGATCGGGTCGAGCTAAAAGAGAAACTCGGCTGATGACTCTGGACGTGAGAGCTCACGGTCCTCTGGACGCATCTCGCCACGCCGCGGCGCACGTCTCCATCGACGTCACAAACACGGGCTTCGGCCTGGCCGCCGACGTTAACGTCTTGCTGATTATCATCATCGCCGTGTCGCTCGGCGTGACTGTTCTGCTTGTGATCATGGCGGCGGTGGTGTTTCTGGTCAAGTCGCGCAGGAGGAAGAAAGCCCAGAATGCGGCAAACAGAAACGTGGCCTCGGGAACCGCCCTGAAGAATTTAGACAATTGCGGCTCGGGGCAAGGAGGGGAAGGAATCTACCACCAGGCCTTGCCGGGCTACGTCGGAGACCAGGTGGGTGGCGGCGGGGGTCCGTATACCAGAGGAGGGTCTCTAGATCCATCCCACTCCAGCGGGCGAGGATCCGCAGAGGCAGCGGAGGACGACGAAATTCGGATGATCAACGAGTACCCCCGCGTGGCCTCCATCAGCTCATCCATGCAGGAGCACATCTCGGCCAGGGGGCCGGACTCCGGGATTCAGCGGGACGCCGACCAGCTCTCGGACGTCTCCTGCGAGCCGGCGGCTTTGGAGGGGAGCGCTTGGCTCAAGGGCAAAAAACTGGGCGGCAGTCTGAGCGGAACTTTGCTCTCTGGCCAGCTCCCGGTCTACAGGGACGAGGGAGGCGGCTACCTGGGAGCGGGCCGGGGACTCAATATTTCCCTCCCCAAGGATTACGCCTTCCCCGAGGACGGTAAACCGTCCGTGGACGGTTCTCTCACGGCGATCGTGGCCAGCGACGAGGAACTCCGCGGAAGCTACAACTGGGACTACCTGCTCAACTGGTGCCCTCAGTTCCAGCCGCTGGCCAACGTCTTCACAGAAATCGCGAGACTGAAAGACGAGACGGCCCAGCAGACCCCCAACCCCCGCCAGCCTTTCCAGCCCAAGCCCAAAACGGACCCCAAACCCCGAATCGACCCCCCGCCGCTCATCACGTCGGTCGCCCACCCGGGGGCCATGTCAGTGCCGCCCAAAGTCCCCGTGCTCGGACGGACGTTCCCCCACTTGGTGTCCCTGCGCCGCTCCCCCATCAGCCACGAGGGTTCCATTTCGTCGGCGGCCATGTCGCCCAGCTTTTCGCCATCACTTTCCCCGCTGGCGACGCGCTCACCCGCCGTCTCCCCTTTCGGCGTCAACCAGGCACCCTCGGCATCCATGATCAGCACCCGCGAGCCCTCGTTGGACCGGAGTCCTGATCACGAGATGAGACTATGAGGCTCACGGAAAAAACGATCACATTCTTTTGCGTTTTTTTACACCACTTCCGTGATCTGACACTCAGCGTGCTGACAGGGCCGCCTCCTGTGGTGTTCACGGCAGGGGGTTCTTCGACTTTTTGGGCCTAGGGACCCCTTACACGGAAGAAATCTTTCCAGACACTCCGGTCATGGCAATTGAATATCGATAGCATTTGTACCCAGAAATGCCATCGGGGTTGGTTTTATTGGTGCGCCGGTCCCCAAATCGAGGTATGCACTTTTTTTAAACAGACTAATTTATTGTCCCCGCACCCCAGTTTGAGAACCGCTGGTCGACAGGACCACCCGCTAGAGTTTTGGTGGTGCCTTGCGGCGTTGTGGTTGGTTTCCACGTTCCCTCGCTGGCTGGCCAGAGAGCACCTTGTTTCCGTCCTTTTTGCGTTTCAGCGATAAAATCATCGGGGGGGGGGGGGAAAAAAACAGCTCCAACGGATTGTTTTGATGTGCCAGTGTGGGACAGATATTTTTTTCCACATCAACTATTGATTTGAGATTGTGTTTGTGCATTTGTGTGTTAGGATGTCTGAAGACTAGGCGATGTGCATCTGTGATTGTTAGCCGGGTAGCACCTCTAGTTGGGGCAGATTTGCGAATACGTTATTTATACGAACAAAGAGATGGGCGGGTTTTCTACTTTGTTGTTTATTCTTGTCAAATTGCATATCAAACCGGTTTCCGGCGGGATCACCTCTGTGTCTTGACAACGAAAAGTGCTTTCCGCATTGATGATGATGATGATGATGATGATGATGGTGGCGTTCATCTCAGCACAAAGGGGAAATATGCAAATTTCACCGCACATCGCCCAACACCGCAACCTGGCTTAGGGCTTCGGGCCGAGGGTTCGTTGGAACTTGAACACAAACTCATCAAGCGGTGCATCTCATTTGCAAACTACGATCATGTGTTTTCTCCAGCCTCCGAAAACAAAGAGCTCGCTCGACCGTACTGTACTTGTATTTAAAGCAAATAAAGCTCCAAAATCAACCCCGCACTGAACCATTTGGACACAAAGTGGAGTCTGCTCTTTTTCCTCTTTGATGAAATTGAAGAACAGCGATAGCATTTTTCTGGGAATGATGGAGAGTTGAGCTTATGTCCGGGATTTCCTCGATTTTGGCGGCGGGGACGTTTGGCATGAGCTCATAGTGAGTGTCTGCGTACCTCCAAAATGCTAAACACATGAAAGCGATTAATACAGACACGGCGTTGGTGTACTTGAAATCAAGTGTCCAGTAACATTTTCATTCCTCCCCCGTCCCAGCCTCCCACCTGAAAAACCCTTGCACAGCCTGAAGGGGGGTCTGGACCACCGCTCATCTTTTCATATTAAATTTTAATGATCTTTTATTAAAGTGCTTCACGGGAGATGCCCTTGACCGTCTGCAGTTTTTTTTTTTTTTTTTGGCTTTGTTTTGTTACCAAAACACAATCAAAAATTGGTCACGTCAGTCGCGCGACCTCGAGTAGCAAGTGCTTTGTGGCTGCCATGGCCACTGCTCATCACCTACTGGTATTTGTAAACCGCGCTTAACAACTGTGGCGATCTTTTAGCATCCTTTCAAATGTAACGTGCTCTTTTCATTCATGAGTCATTAGCGTAGCTTCTTTCCCGCTTCTGTGAGTGACGCGGGAAAAAAACGCATTTCCCTATTTGCATTCTTGTCCGTTCTTACGTCCTTGTGGGCGTCATCCACAAATGCACACAAAGTCGTTCTCGTCTGTGAGCTTAAATTCAAGGACGCATCGGTTGGTGACTTGTGAAGACCTGGCTGGGAAAATATCCCAAGGTGCATTTCGTACCGTGACACAAAAACGTCACCGGAGAAGATAACGTCCAATGTCAAATTCCGATTCGGAAGAGACTGGCGTAGGAGACGGGCTTTCCCCGTTTTCTTAGCCCGTAGCATCGTTAGCACTAACATTAGTACTAACATCGATTTTTAACGGCACTTTTTTTTTTTTTTTTGTAGCAAATCCTACTAAATTGTCAGGACATGCTCAGCATCCATTTGTCTGTGTACACCGGGGGTTGGCAAAATGTTCAAAGAGCCATATTGGAACAAAACAAAACGAAAAACAAATATGTCTGGAGCCACAAAAAAATAAAATAAAAGCCTTATCGAAGCCTAATAACGAAGGCAACACATGCTGTATGGATCCATATTAGCTATATTAGCCTACTATCAAAATGGCTCCAAATACCCAATGAGGCTTCATGATGAAATTAAATTAAACTCGCAGGGTTCACTTCATAAAAGTTTGACGTGTGACGCCTTTTGACCCAGGAACAGATCATTTCCATTTTCATTATTTCCTACAGGGGCAAGAAAAATGTTCCTGTCAATCAAAAGTCAACATCATTACCCTTGCAGAGGCAGATTTTCTCACTAATGAGTTTCCCTTGAAGGGGACATTTTCTCTGATGTTTTGTTTTCCATAAACATGATTAAGGGGCTGACGTTTATAAAATGCTTCAACCTCTCTCTGTCGCTCGCTCGCTCCCGACGTGGAAATTTATCAGCCGGCTTTCTTCTGTCAGCTTAAATGCGGAGAATGTGCAGGAGTCGGGAGTTTTGGGGTTTTTTTACGACTTGGATCACAGCACAAGTATTCCGTTAAGGCAAGCCCGAAATGTTATCCTCTTTTTACACTGAAATTACAGTGAGTTCAAGATGGGGTTTTTTTTTGAAAGAGGGTTCAAGCCTGGGCGAGGACGACAACATGGCAGGTATCATTTGATCGAGTATGTGGGTGAACACTGTTCTGAATGCGTTGTATCGTAAGTCGCGTGTCCGCATTCGGTCGACCTCGTGCATCTGCTTCACGTTTGACAAAAAACCGCGCCGATGTTCCTCACTGTTCCGTCAGAGCCAAAAGCTATCGATGAGGACCTCCAAATCTTAACCGTTACCCTCTGTTTCCATTTAGGAGCGCGCGATAAATATCCCCCCCCCCCGACCCCCTTTGGGTTTTGAAGGACATGACAAAGTGTGCGAAGTTTGTCGCGTGGAAAAAAAACAGAACATCGCTTCTTGTCAATCTCAAACAAAGGGAGTGATCTGGCCAGGAAAAAAAAAAAAAAGAGACGTCTTTGAAGTTACTGCTCCAGGGCCTGCTGAGAGAATCGGCACCAAACACAACAATGGAGGACGACTTTGGTTGCCAAGGGGGCCTGGGTTCGGGGACAAGCTTTAAATTTATTTGGTGCACTCAGAAATTGTTGACGTGAGGGGGCGGGGGCTTGAGTACAGGTTGTTCTGATGTTCTGCAAATATGTCGGGGTCACGGCGGATCGTTGGGTGCTTTGCCACGGGGGGATGCTTTGCCGCTATGCTCCCCCGTGTGGATTTAAGGTTCTCGGCGTTAGTTAGGGTTGAGGTTTAGATTAGGTTTCAAGTGAAGATTAGTTGTGAAAAGGGCTCAGGGGTTGGAGCCGCGCTGCTGTACCTTGTGCTACACTGAAAGCGCAATGCTAAATTCGGACTTGGCCGTGTACTGTGAAACCCCCCCCCCCCCCAAAAAAAAATTTAACCCCGAATGATAGAGCAGCGGTTCCCCCGATATGAACGAGTTCCTAAAGGAACCCAAACCACTTTTGGACCACGGAAGTTGAAGCTTCTTCTCGGCCGTCGTAGCGCAAAGGAGTCATCGCGAGCGTCGTTTTCACCGCTCGTGGCCCAGGACAGCTTTAATGCCCCAGAAGAGAGCCCGGAGGAGGGGAGGGAATGCAGCCGGCTCGCATTTGAGTCAACTCCCCCAAGTGCGCGGCCAGAGACAATAAAAAGAAGCCGACCGCCGCTCGCTCGTGTGGCGATGCGGCTAATAGGGCAAGTCAAGAGCGAGCGAAGGACGGCTATAAAGAAAGCGACCGTAAAATGGTTCATGGTGGGCTCTTTATTTCGGTTAGGACTCCAGCATCTCAAGTGAAAGCAGATGGTTCTTCCGCCCGGAATAGTTTCCACTTGAAGTCTTTGACTTTTTCTGGACCGCGTCCAGCTCCCCCGCAACCTGCAAGGACAGGTCTGCGCCGTGGCACCTCACCGGTCACGTTGCAAGCCTCCGAATTTGCCGTACGGGTAGCGAGGCGGAACGCTTACTGTTGGTTGGAGGTTAGCATTCGGGCTAAGGTTACGTTTTAGCGCTTTGGGTTAAAAGTTTCGGATTTAGGTCTGGCTGGCCCTTGCCGGTCGGAGGCATTAGCCCCGTTCACACGGCAACGTTTGGTCCGACGCTGCGCCGAAACAGATCCAGTCGAGCGTTCACACGTGCACATTTGCTCCGACGTAGATCCACTAAAGAGCTTATACCGGACCAAATTTGAACCACCTCAGGGAGGTGGTTTAAAAATTTGCTCCAGATTCAGTCCACTTTTTGAAGCGATCATGCACGCAAACAAATAACACCCGACACACGAATGTACCTTGGGTCTCATCCTAACCTTCAAAAAAACAATCATAGCTTCGTTAGCCGTCTTGTGAATCGCAAACAAAGACACTAGCGTCATCGCTATTAACGTTTGTTTTTCCCGATCAAAGCATTATGCTAATCGTGCGATGTCAAACCAGCAGCTACTCAGTTGTCTTTTTTTTTTTTTAACACACAGCAGGACATAATTCGTGACCTCGGAAGTCCATATGCAGCTGGTCAGTTGTAATTGTCACCATTCCGCACGCTAGCTAACGACACCGGCGTCCACTCGGAGTCGCGTTACCGACCACTTAAGCGGCGAGGAGGTAGTATTCGCTCCCACTCCCGTCCACTCAGAGCCCCGAGGGAAATATTGGGTTTCTCATCTGCAGCTGCTAAATACTCGGCTGGATTGTCACGCGCCGGGTTTGTTGTTCTTGCGGCTTTTGGAGGAGAAATTCTGCCTGGAAGGGAGATTAGCCAAAATGACATGACGAAAGACCCGGTGAGGCGACGAGTAACTCTCTCCTGTGGTGGGGTGAGGGGGGGGGGGGTCCAGCAGTACAGTGAACACCTGTTTATCACGGAGGATACGTTCCACACCCACGCACGATTGGTGAAAAACTGTCATATGGTCTGATGTGTGCAATGTTTAAAAAAAATAAAATAAAAACGTAACCCCTCCCTGCATGCTTTCAACACATTTCAATGTATTAAAACACACTCGGCGGCCAGCTCCGGCCTCCCTGTGTAGAGTTTTGTTTTTCTCCGGGTACTCCGGTTTCCTCCCGCATTCCAAAAACATGAATGGCAGGCTGATTGAACACTCGAATTTGTCCCTCGGTGTGAGTGTGAGCCCGGATGGTTGTTGGTCTCTGTGTGCCCTGCGATTGGTTCAGGGTGTCCCCCGCCAACTGCCTGAAGACAGCTGGGATAGGCTCCAGAACCCCCGCGACCCTTGTGAGGATAAAGCGGATCGGAAAATGGATGGATGGATGGCTTTTGACTCAATATGAGACTTGATTTTTCGTTGAACTGTTTTCGTGCTTTCTACTGTCGTCGTTATTAATTTATTTTTTTTCTTGTTTGTTGTTGAATGAATGAATTTTGCTTCGTGGACAGCACTTTGGATCCGGCGCTGGTTGTTTGCTCTGAAAATGCATTTGAGTTGAGTAACTTGACCACAGGAGGGCAGTGTCGTGCCATAATGATAAGGTCCTTCTCTTGACAAAGTCCAGTATTTGTTCGAAGCATTTATTTGGGGCTTTTTTCAGGTCCGAAGATTACACATGACATCTAATACATCCAATATATGAATCTTGCAAAATTATTTTTTTTATTCTATGAAATAATTGGTCAATTTACTCCTCGCACCCCAAACGCGGAGGGCCACTTGATGACGATTATTCACGGCTGCCCAGCGACTGACTTCCTGTAGCCGAAAAATAAAAGCTTTGACCACAAGTCACTTCCGCCGTTGAATATTTTGTCGTCTTCTTCCGCTTCTCCTCTTCCTTCTTTCTTGGCTGCTCAAAGTCAGCCAGCAGGAACCCGATTGCCGCGCCTCACCAGCAAAAACAACAATCATCCTTTTGTACCGTCATGTCGTCCAAATTTCCTCCCATCGGTTTGTGCTCGTTGTAGCCAAAGACACGTTCGCCGGAGATGCTTCGTTGTGGCCGCTAGCAGCTTGTTAGCCTGCCCGCTGGCATTCGGGGGAGCAGCACGACCGGACCGCAAACTCCGGGAAGGGTAATTCCCGCGATTCTTTTTTTATTTTTATCTGTATTTATTTATTTTTATTTGCATGCACACGTCGACACGTTTTGAGTTGGCCGACTACTCTCGAGTGTGTCAGCCGGGTGACGCTACAACTTGAAATCGGGCCTTTCTAAGATTAAAATCAACAAGCTAATAACCGTGTTTTGACTCAAGCCGTTGTTGGCACGATGTATTTGAATGTGAGCGAATATTTGAATGTGAGCGGAGCTGCGGAATCGCGTCACTGACACGAATAAAGGTTTCCGTGTTCGCACCTGAGCGGCTGCACCTGCCATATGGTACCTGAAGCCGACGAGTCATCGTGAATTTGCCGGAGTTTAACGTCCGTTTGCAACAATGTTTCTGCGCTTTCTTGATTTGTGCGGTTCAAAGGTCCACGTGTAGTGAATTTGTGTTTTTGAATGTTCATCTTTGAGCTCTCAGCGTAAAGTGACTCTACATACGTTTCAACGGGATGAATGCGCGTAACAACGCGGTGATGTTAAAAAAATAAATAAAAGATAACGTGGGTGACGTTGCAAAAAAAAAAAAGTTGTCCATCTTTAATACTACACCTTGGATTGCCGCTTTGAATACCATTTGAACGTCCGTGTTTACACGGCAACTGACGTGTGTCGTGTGGAGACCACAAAATGGCGTCTTTTGGTGTCAAATGACAACAAAACGGGTAAGTCAATTTCAACAAAAAAAAACCTCTACCCTTTAAATAACGTTTTAGACTACAGGTGTCAAAGTCAAGGCCCGGGGGCCAGATCTGGCCCGCCACATCAGTTTATGTGGCCTAAAAAAGTAAATCAATATCCGACCTTATCGTGTTCAACTTTACACGTTCAATCTTGAGGCGGCGTATTGGGGGAAAAAGGCCAAGATCAATGCCTGATATCGATACTCAACCGTCTCTAGTGGAAAATACCTGACGCCATGAGAACAGACCAGTACTTTGGATTGGTGCAAATGGATATGCACCGACGCGTGGGTTTTGGGTGCCAACGGTGATGTTGTGGCATGTTGTATGTTTTTTTTTTTTCTGTCCATCCCAAGGCGTCATGTCGGACGGCATCATGAGCAAAGCGGCCACCATGGAGATCCCCATCAACAGCAATGGCAACACGGGCGCGCTAGCGGAGGACGACGGCCTGGAGCAGGTATGCAGCGTCACGCCACCTCATTTGCATCGCCGCCACCTCCGCGCTCGGGAGCTGCCATTGTCTGCTGCGCCGAGATGGCGGTTTTGGTGTTTTGCTCTTCTCAGGCTGCAGTGTGAAGACACAAAAAGTTCAAGTTGGGACTCAAATGCGTGTGACAAGTGTCAGTGAGGTTGTTTCAGAAGATGCCTGATAATTAATTCACTCGGGAGTCTTTTGTTTGCGCTGAATGAAAGGGTTGCGCTCACTTGAGATCGTCAAGGTAGTTCTGCTCATTGAAGGGAGTTCGAGATGTTTGTGTCCGGGGGATCTTCCGTGTTGCTTTGGTTAGGCTCCGAAATCCTGATTGTATCAAGCCTAGTCTCAGGTGCTTCTCGAGATTTCAAAAGGCTCTGGTGCATCAAGATTGGTTTCAGGCGTCCGTATGAGTGAAGATGCTTGAAGGCGGTTTTGGTGGTGCAGCGCCGTCCAGGTGCTTCACGTCAGTCCATCTGTTTTGGGTCTGGCCAGAGTTGTCCCCATGCTACAAGTGTTGAGATTGCAAAGCTGATTTCAGGTTGGCCAGCCAAATTGACATTATGAAGAAGACTTCAGGTTGTTCGGGTGAGTTGGAGCCGTTGGAGGTGGTGCACGCCCTGGACAAGCACACATGCAAGTTCCTGGACAAAATGTTGACGGTTGCTTGTTTGCTCACTCAACTCTGTGTGTGTGTGTGTGTGTGTGTGTGTGTGTGTGTGTGTGTGTGTGTGTGTGTGTGTGTGTGTGAGAGAGCGCGTGAGCTGTGTGCTTACTGGGAGATAGCAACGGTCACCATAGCAACAGCAATTCGCAGCAACATGGCTTTGTGCTCACATATCAGATTGTCTGCAGTGAAAGCCCCTTGCCGACGTGGAGTGTGTGTGTGTGTGTGTGTGTGTGTGTGTGTGTGTGTGTGTGTGTGTGCGTGCGCGGGCTTCCATGCATGTAAAGATCACGTGAATCACATTTGCCGCCGTGGCAAGCGCTCTTAATGCCCACATGTAAGTTGTCCCCGCTGCGCGTCACATCTTGCGTTGACTTTCTTTGGCATCGTGTTGATTTCAGTCCTGTTGTGTTTTTTTTTTCCTTTTTGTCCACGTTTGTTTGTGGTGGTCTGTGTGCAGGCGACGAGGCGGCAGTGGCGTTTAGATGAGAAGGTAGGAAGCGGCCCAGGCGCCGGGGTGAGCGGACGTTTGCGTGCCCTTTTGTGTGTTTGGGTGGCGCTTGCGGTGCGCCGCCGCGCCCTCCCCTCCCTGCTGTCACCCGAGTGACTTTTTGAATGTGCTACTAATGCCGTAACGCTGATCGCGTGGCGAAGGGATGGAAACTTTCCGTGAGAACGATGAAAATGGAAAGGCGTCGTCGCATGGGAGAGATCCCACGTCTGTCTGCGTAGGTCAGGATTAGGCTCAAACGGATTTTCTGAAGTTCCAAAGACTCGAGTCGTGCCTCCTCCGTCGTGGGCGGCCGTTGCCATTACGTTTCGGAGCGCCGCCGCAATAAGTGAAATCCGCAGTATAGCCGACGCCCGAGTGACGTGACTCCTGAGGAATGTTTTTCGAGCGTCGTATGACGTTGACTCCTCTTCAACAAAATAGTTGTTTTCATTCTTTTTCTTTCAAATCAATCTCAAACTCAATCATGTGCTGCCATCGAGTGGTTGACAGTGGAATTGCACCCAAATAAGCAGGAGGTTTAAAAAAAAAATCTGAATGGCTTAACCAGGAAGACCCCCCGCCCCCCCCCCACACACACACACACTTCACTTTTTTTTTTTTTAGCTTTACGATACACCTGACTTATCTCAAAGGCCGTTCGAGCAACTTGTGTCTTCCTCGACCTTTACTTAACCTTCCTAACGTCGTCCGCTAATGAATAATCGTCTCTGAAGTAATGTTCATCTAATCTAATCCTTCCGCGCTATCCGCTAACCCCCCGCACCCCCCCCCCTTTTTGGCATCTGCAGGACCTGCAGCAGGTGATGGCGTCGGGTCCAAACCTCAACGAGACCAGCATTGTGTCGGGCGGTTACGGCGGCACGGCGGAGGGCATCATCCCCACCGGATCCATCAAAGGTCGCGACCGCGCCGGCCTCGCTCGCCGTGCGACGGGCCCGACGGTTCGGAAAAGGGCCCGTCGGGCCGAATTTGATCAATGCAACAATCTCGGTTCTGTATGCGTTTGGTCGCTACTTGCACTCAGCTGTTGTGCTGCCGAGGCAGGCAGCCCGATTTTTTTTTTTTTTTTTTTTTTAAAGCATGAAATAGAATTGAGTTTGGGACCCTTGAAAGAAAACAGAAAAATAAGTTAAGCGTTCAACGAAAGAAACAAAAACAAACCACCTCTGCGTCCACAACGCAGAGGCCCAATTAATTTGCTGCCTCAACGGGCTGTCCCATTGTTCCATCCATGGGAAAACTTGTGTTGCGGGACCTTTGAGAACCAAGTCCAAGAAGTTCCTTGTAAAGCCCCTGGTGTGCAAATCTCAGTTTGCTTCCGTCAAATTTGAAACATGAATTAAACGGGAAGAAACATTTCAAACAAACGTTGATTGTCGATATGTCCAAAGAGTCGCGGTGCCCCGAGGAGGAGGCGAAATTAGTCGTGAACGTCGTCGGCCTGCAGCCCATTCGCATTCAGAGCGAACGACTGGTCGCTTCGCTGGCCACCTCGCTGTGTCCGTGCTAACATTTGTGTGTCTCTCAGGGCCGGCTGTGCGCTACAACCCCGACTTTAACAAACGGATCCCAGTCACAGGACTAGGTTTACACCTTTGTTGTTGTTTTTTTTTTTTTTTTTCCACCTGCTCTAAAATGTAAACAACCTGAAAGCTTCAGTGTTGCTTCCTGTCAGTTTCATGCTCTTGGCGCGTTTGTTCTGTCCTGAGAAAGTTTGGTTTCCTCTGGCTTGGGCGTGACTTTTTGTCTCTTGGCGCCACCCGCAGGTCCCAGCATGCAACAGAGCGGCAGCAGCTCGTCCGTGGCGGCGGCGGCGGCGGAGGAGGCCACGCGAGGCGTGGCAGTGGAGAAGCTGGAGACGGTCAAGAAGTGGGGTCTCAACACTTATAAGGTACCAAGCTGTAGTCACGTCCAAAGTTTTCTCCTTGGGTTTTCCAAAGTGGTAGCTGCCTTGACGGGCTGCACTATATTTCTGATCATGAAGCACATTTTGGTGCGGGCGCCTTAAAAACACCCTACCTAATAGCTTACTTCTTTGGAAATATTGAGAGCGCACATATGACTCACAGAGGTCCAATTAATTTCGACACTCAACGGGTTGCCCAATGTTTCAAACTTGAAATTTGAGGCAATGTTGAGTGCGGAACATTAAACGACAAACAAAATTCCTTCTGTGTGTGAGTATGCCTGTCACATACGCTATACTGCTACAAAGCAATTAGTAGATTGCCTAGACGGGCCGCCAGTTATTTCATTCATGAAGTGGCAGGATCCTGCCTGAACGGGCTGCCCTCGGCTGTATTCAAACACGATATTCAGATTGCCTTCATTTGATTTCTTTCTTGACTTTTTAGTGCACCAAGCAGATGATCTCGGAGCGTTTTGGGCGGGGCTCGCGGACCGTGGACCTGGAGCTGGAGGCCCAGATCGAGCTGCTGCGGGACACCAAGCGCAAATACGGGAGCGTGCTGCGACTGGCCCGAGCGCTGACCAATCATTTCTACAACATGGTGCAGACGCAGCACGCGCTGGGAGACGCCTTCGCCGACCTCAGTCAGAAGTCGCCGGAGCTTCGGGTGACGACTGCAAAAGAAACAACTGAATGTGCTCAATGTGTAGACATGTGCACCGCAAAGGCCGCGTAGTTTGCCGCCTAAATGGGCTGCCCAAATCATGAAGCCACATCATTCAAAATCAAATCAAAACAAAATATTGTCATAGATGGATCAATAGATAGCTTGTCCAGAGCATCGGCAAATACTTTTCTGCCTCAACAGGCTGCCCTTTGGTCCGAATCAGGTTTGAGTGAGGACCATCAAAAATGAAATTAGTTGTGAACACTTGAGATCCAGAACATATACAACACGTGCCCGACTCGTTTTATGCCCCAACAGATTCTGTATCAAGAAGTAAACATCGCGGCAGATAACCAACCCGTTTGCTGCTTAAACAGGCTGCTGGTGTCGTCTAATAAAGTACGAAGCAGTTCATGAACACAGTTGCTTGTGCAGGAGCATGAAAAACCAAACCGAAAATGTAAAAAAAACCCAAATCTTTGTAAATATGCCCACAGCGGCTAGCGCACCGATGCCTAGCATAGTTTGCTGTCTAAACGGGTAACACAATAAGTTCGGTAACAACGTGAACGGCCGCCATAGTTGAGTGCGGCAGCGTTCAAATCTGAACCAAGTCCCTTGTCAATCCAGCTTCATCCCGTAATTTGAATCGTGGTTCCGTAATATCATACCCGTCTCTGCAGGACGAGTTCGGCTACAACGCCGAGACCCAGAAGCTGCTGTGCAGGAACGGCGAGACTCTGCTGGGCGCCATCAACTTCTTTGTGTCCAGCATCAACACGTTGGTTAACAAGACCATGGAGGACACGCTCATGACCATCAAGATGTATGAAAACGCCAGGTAAAAAAAAAACAAACCAAATACTCCCAAAGTTGCGCCTTTTTGGGGCCAAAACTTTACAAAGTGGCCCCTCAGGTTGGAATTCGACGCATACCGGTCGGACCTGGAGGAGCTGAGCTTGGGGCCTCGGGACGCGGCGGCCACGGCCCGCATCGACGCCGCGCAGCAGCAGTACCAAGTCCAGAAGGACAAGTACGAGCGACTGCGCTCCGACGTCACCATCAAACTCAGGTTCCTGGAGGAGAACAAGGTCGGTCCATCATCGGGAGGGAAATTGGGTGAGTGACGCAGCGGTTGGAAGGCAACGCATTCAATGAGTTTGCCCTTTTGTCTGCTTGCTTGTGGCCCCCCCTGCCCCAGGTGAAGGTGATGCACAAGCAGCTTTTGCTCTTCCACAACGCCATCTCGGCGTACTTCGCCGGCAACCAGCAGCAGCTGGAGCAAACGCTCGAGCGCTTCAACGTCAAGTTGAATCCGCCCGGAGCCGACAAGCCGTCCTGGCTGGAGGAGCCCTGAGGATGTACCTAAATCCTAAACCCTGCCCCGTCCGAGCCCCGTAGAGGAAGCCAAGCCTGCCCGACGGGTCCACAAAAGCAAGTGGCCCACTTTCCCGCAAGCTTCTAATCGTGCGTTTCGACTCCTCTGCTTTGATGTTGAGCCAACGGCCTGAACGCCATCAAAGCGCCACCCAATCAAAATGGAGGCCACGTCTCCAATCAATGTACATGGCAAATTTTTACTGGAATTTTTTTTTTTTTTCCCCGGGGTGTCCATTATGGGCAAGACTCGACGGACGTGCCAGTTTATGGACCAAGCCACTTTGTTCTCGTCTTTCTCTGTTTGAAGGCTTCACAGCCACGAGGAGGAGCAACTGTGACTGACTACCTGACACTTTGCCAACCTTCCTTAAGCCAGCGTGCCGATTTGATGCCAGAAATGGCTCATGGTGACAAAAAAATATATATATGAATCAGTGAAGCCCCTTTTATCGCAACGTTAGCGTGGCGATTTCACGCCAGAAATGGCTCACATTGACAAATAAAAAAAAGTGAGTACAGTAAACCCCCTTTAGCGCAGCGTTGCGCTTATCTCTTTATTTATTGAAGTTGGCGACCAAACACCAGTCAGTTAAACACGTCATATTGAAACGGCAAAGGCGTAGTTATTCTCACAAGGCAGCGAGATGTAAGATGTGACACGCCATAAACATGCTCATGGAAGTTAGCATAGGTAGCGTCGAAATTAGCGTTCAATAATTGGCGCGTCTGTGCCAAAAAATGCTCACAGGGGACCGCCGTTACGTGTGCGGCGTTGGGAAGAGTCAACATACTCTCATAAACCTTTTTAAATGCCATCGGGAACGAAATGTTTCGAAAACAATCGAGAATGCTGAGAAAAATAATCGGAACAAAACAAGGAATTTATAAACCTTTTTAAATGCCATCGGGAACGAAATGTTCAGAAAAACAATCGAGAATGCTGAAAAAAAATAATCGGAACAAAACAAGGAATTACGTTTAAAAAAATAAATACGCTGGGCAACGTTTCCCAGCCACAGTTCCGATAAGTAAATTCTTGAATGCCGAAGCGCAAATAGCGCAAGGGTTCCGACGTACACTGTTCTGTAGATACCAGAAGATGGCGCCAAAGCAACACTGATCACTTTATGGGGGTGAATTGAGTCAATTGCAGAAAATAACCGAGGAGACATTCCACCCAAAATAGATCCACACTTGAAAATGTCAAACTGCGATTGCGTTGGCGTCCACTCTTTTCACACACACACACACACACACACACACACACACACACACATAGCAGCAGGAGCAACGGCAATCTAGTGAATAAGCATTTCTATGTTCTGCCTGTCTCTCTCCGTCACCGGCATAGATGGCAGCACAACAGGTGGGAATCACCCAATCGTAACACTATTTGGACGCCGTGTAGCGTCAACCCGAAATTTCGAGCTCGCATCGCAATCGGTCACCCGGTCGACACTCTACCGATTCCATGGCCATTTGTATTGATTTGAATGCGTTGATAACGTCTCTCTGACAGCGATATCCTCAAATTTGCAACCGGGGCATGTCATTTCTGAACGCACCCAAAGAGTTCACGGAGTTCTATTTTCTTGGTGTATGTTGGGGTCGGAAGTGATTCCTCGCGGTCAAGGCTGATCCTCGGAAATAATAAAAGAAGCGAGTCATTTTCAAATCTTCCAACTTGTGTGTGTGTGTGTTTGAATGATGAAAATAAATAAACATCCTAAAGTGCATGTGCACAGTATTACATTTACATTTTTTTGGTGTGCGCATGTCAACATTAAGCCAAATTCACCCGGCACATACCTTTGTTGACAATTGACACTCGACACTTGTCATTAGGCGGTCTTTCAGACTTTTAAACCAATAAAAGGCTGTTCTCGACGACAGGGGCGGAGACTCGATATCGGATTGGTGGAAACTCTTCCTACACCTGCGCGTGCTTCCGTATTTTGTGACGATTTTTCAGTGATAACGTCAGGGGAATCTGATTGGTTGGACGCGCCATTTCGGGCCTACCGCCGACGAGGAATCCGATTGGCCGAGACGAGTCCTACACCTGTGCGTTTTCCTCGCGGCAAACTTCACACCTGGCTTACTTCACCAAATGACGGCGCCATTCGGACGTGGTGGCCTGCTGCGTTTGTCAAATATTAAGGTGAGTCGTGTTGAAAGCGTCGTGACGCTCCGAGCAACGTGATACCAAACCGCTTTGTATGCAAAATCAAGAGACAATCGCAGTGGAGTCTGATGGCAGAGGAATATGTTTTGGTCGCCTGTTTGTCTTCAGCGTGGGGAAGTCGATGGGCAGAACGCGTCTTTGACAATATATTGTTTTTTAAGTTCAGCTAACAAGTAATGTAATTAAGTCCAAAGAGCAACGGCACAATTAAACGATAAAAAAAAACACCACCAACAACACTTCCTAGTTTGGTCTGTCGCATGTCAGAATATCGTGAAAAATGTTGTTCACTGTTCTCCAAAGTGAAAGCAGAAGTCTTTTTGATGAAACGCGGAAGGTCATGGAGTTGCAATGATGAATGCTTTCTCCGATCATCAAATTACGGAAAAGGACTCAAATCATTGTTGGTCGCAGCGCTAAAAGAAATCAGCCTACTTTCACAGGAGTATGATCATTCTCAGCCAAAATGTTGCTGTCGAGCAGCTGAAATTCCCAACATGTGGACAATTTGAAGCGAAACGAGATCCTTAATCGATGATCACACTTGTGGTGGGTTAAATTTGATACTCGATCGGTTGCCGATACACCTCAAATGAAATGTTGAATTGTCAAGAGCGCCTCATGCTGAAATCAACTCCGATTTGTAGCTCTGGCCCTACTGCGGCGGAAAGTGATGGAGGCATCACAGATCTCCCCGGCGCAACCTTTTCCTCCTCCTGCGCCTCCTCTGCCGCCGCCGCCCCCTGCGCTTTCTCGTCTCCTGCCTCCGCCGCCCTCGTTGCAGCGGCGCTCCATGAAAAAGCTCAACTGGGACACCATCCCCAACCAGCGCGTGCTGGGCAAAGTCAACGTGTGGACGTCGGCGCTGCCCCCCAGAGAGCTGGTGCTGGACACTCACAGCATGGACGAGCTCTTCAGCCACGTGGACCGGCGGGCCCAGAGCAGGGCCGGCTTCGGGAGACCACGCCGCGGCGGCAGTGGCAGCGCTGACGTCCGCCCGTCGCAGCCTCAGGTGGGAAGTTCTCCAACAAGGGAAGTGTTGAGTTCCGCACCACAGTTCCCCTTCCCCCAGCCCACAGCCAAAAAAAGAACAACAACAAAAAAACGTCCAGTGATGGTTTTTGTCTTCAGGTGAGCATTCTGGACGCCAAAAAGAGCATGAACATTGGCATCTTCCTCCGACATTTTAAGAGGTGAGACGGGAAAAGCCGGGGTTCCCCCCATGTGCTGCTTTAACATCCAAGTTGAATTCATCGCTCATCTCAAATCATCTTTTGCCATTGTGATGAATGCAAATGCCATTCGGCTCTTCTCGCCTCAAGCCAGGAGGAACGAATTCACGCGCTTCCCAAATACGCACGGTCATGCAAAACGTGACGCGGCTTTAGCGTTGACTTCCCCCTCGGTGACCATCGTGCTCGCGTGCGGTCCAAATGCCAAAAAACGCACAAATCTGAGAAGCGTTGACCAAAATGTGTAACAAAAAAATAACACAACGCTCGGTGAAAAATACAAGGGTATTGACCGGCGGCTCCCCCTGCAGGCCGGCGGCGGAAATGCTGGAGGACATCGTCCGGGCCGAGTGGCGCGGCGGCGCCGACGGCGGCAAATTGACGGAGCTGTGCAAGCTGCTGCCCGAGGAAAGCGAGGTAGCGCGCGTGCGTCTGAGCTCGAAAGTTGGCGGTGGCCCTCATCGGCGCTCGTGCAACCGGTCGCAGGTGAAGCGGCTGCTGTCCTTCAGCGGGAACCCGTCGCTCTTATCCGAGGCCGATCGCTTCATGGTGCAGCTGGTCAAGGTGCCGCGGTGAGTAAACCATCGAGAAATACAAGACTTTTCCCTTCTAGAAAAATGTGCTTGCGCTAACCGTCGTAGCTACGAGGAGCTGCTGAAGACCATGGTCCTGCGCCAGGAGTTCTCGCCTCTCATGGAGGAGGCGAGCAAGTCGCTGGCGGTCATGATCCAAGCGGCGAACGGTACGCATGCGAGTGTGAGGCTAGGCTAGGCTAGCTACCTCCTATTAGCTAGTGCTCATCAAACGCGTGTCCCCCACCCGCGCAGAGCTGCTGGACTGCGACAAGCTTCACGCCGTCATCCGCCTGGTGTTGAAAGCCGGCAATTACATGAACGCTGTGGGTATTTCCTCGCTTTTGCCCTTTGGCTCGTCATACTTGCGTGTGATTGGACGCCGACCCGACGATTTGGCCACGCAGGGCGGCTACAGCGCCGACGCCATCGGCTTCAGGATGACGTCGCTGCTCAAACTGGCTGACACCAAGGCCAACAAGCCGGCCGTCAACCTCCTCCACTATGTCGCCAAGGTCAACAAAACAACTTTTTAATCACTATTTTTTCTTTGTTTTTTTTTTTAATCCACCACCACCACCATTTTCTTTTTTTGTGAAACTAGCAAGCGGAGGACATTGATGCCGACCTGCTGACCTTTCCCAGCCAGCTGGAGCACATAGGAACGGCAGCCAGGTACCATTTATGTGCATCTATATTGTTGTTGTTCTGATTAGATTGTTTGTGTACTTGTGTGAACGTGGCGTAAGTAGAGTGTGCCAAGAAGAGGTGCTGGCGGACTTGGAGAGACAAGTGAAGAAGCTCAAGGAGGTCAAACTGTGCGCCAGCAGACATCCCCACCTCCACCGGCAGATGGCGCCCTTCCTCAAGGTACCTCTCTCGCCTTCCGAGCCGCACCGAAACGTGCAAAGCAGGAAGTACAGGACAGAGATGTCAAAAAAAAGTTTAAAAAATATATATATTTATACAGAAAGAAGTTGTGATGGTATGAATAGAATAAAATCTTAGCTTTTCAAGACAAGAAGAAGTAAAAACGCTTACTAATGTCAAAAAAGACTCCTTTTTAAGAAAAAAAATGACAGATTTTCAGTTAAAAAGTTGCAAAGGAAAAAGATTTTTCTATTTAGGGGGGACAAACAGTTATATTACAATGAGTGTATAGTTACTTTTTTGCCCACGGGTTTCTTTTTCGAAAAAGCAAAGTGAGACATTTTCCTGATACAATGATTTATTTGCCTCAACCAAAAATCCAAATCAATTTTTTAACCCCCAGAAAAGAAGTTATAATGCAGCAACAGACATGTATTTTTCAGAATGTTGTGTTAAAAAAAAATGTCATGACAACAAAGTCGTGTTTTTTCAGGGATGCATTTATTTTAAATTGGATGACATTGATGTCATTTTCAATTTCTTGAGGATTTTGGGGGAGGCAGGGAAAACGTCATGGCAATATAACATTAACAACATTGTGATCTTCAAAAATAAAGAACTACAGAGAAAAAAAAACCCTT